CTATTTTTATGTTTTTTGTTTTTTTTTTTTTTTTTTTTTTTTTTTTTTTTTTTGGAAATGTTCGCCGCGATTTTACTGAAAACGGGAGCTTATGATTATGCGTATCTTTGCAGTCTAAAATGAGTTTATATTTATTGTTGCAATAGAAGATAATAACTTTATAAATGAATATGCACATGTACCATGTGCTTTATATTTTTTTAGAATGTTTCCATCACGAAATTAGCCAGCTGAAGAATAATATTAAATATTACACGAATTATATATTAGGAGATGCTGTGATTGTGACATTCCTAATTGCCTCGTTTGTTGTGAAAAATTGTTAAAAATATTTCCAAAATATATACTTTTTTTGTTTAATAAAGGCATCGATCGCAGTATCTTCGTTAGCAGCGACCGAGATTAATACAATCTCATGATGCAATCTGTTACATGTACTTTTCTAGATGCGGCGCGTTTATATAAACGAGAGAAAACGCTACATTTAAATTACAACCTCCTACGCGAACTTGCAAACAGACACGGCAATCTAAAAACAGCACTTTGTGGAGCTGAGGATTCCGCCTCTTTTTCGGATTTATGAAAGCCGCGGGAGGGCGACGTGTTAAACGTTCCTCTCCGGGGTTTTATACACGCATTTGTATTACTTTTATCTCGACGGCGGTGTTATGAAATATACTCGCGCATCAGTTCCTAGATGCAGTCGGATATGCCCGATAAATTTTGTACCTTGACAAAAATAATAGAAGATCGTATTTCAGTGCGAGCTCAAAGTGCTTTACAACGGACGTATCTAGATCGCGACAAGAGACATGTCTGCACGGACACTCCGAAAGTCTAAATCAAGGGGACAAAGCTCGCTTGTAGCTTTTTCTTTCGCGCCAGCCATAATTTATCATTATCCCTTAAAATTTATTAACCCTTTCGGAACGACAAGCATAAGGGCTCGTAACAGTTGCCACTAGTCGGCGCACCGAATCCACAAGTGCTAGGCCGAGAATTGTGTATATCGTCGTAGCGGTTTTCTAACTTAATTTCAAAATTATCACGTTTCTTTGCAAACGTTTTTAAAACTCGACTTTAAACTCTTTCGAAGCGTAGGTGGCGTAGGTGGCGAGATTTGTTTTTCAATCGATTTACAAAAGAGTTCGGATTGTAAAATCGAGCGCGAACCAAGAGAACAAGGGTTTATAATTTATAAGCACACATGAAAGATCAAACGAAAGAAAACGATACGCTGTAGGGTCTGCATTACGGCGCACGGAGGGAGAAGAAGGGAATCGTTTGTTATTGCGAGGTCAATGAGTCGCGATACGTCAGCGAGGGCGGCGCAACATTAACCACCCCTTGACGAGCCGCGATTCAGCGGCGAATATGGGGTTCGCAGTCGTTCCCGCGGCTTCCGATTCAACAACCCCCACCGCAGCCCGCTTCTCTTTCCGCGCTGCAAACTCCCTCAGCTTGTTAATCTTGCTAACATCGTGCGCCACAGGTGGTGACCCCGCATTGTCTCTTCTCCGCCGTGGCCTAATCAACGTCAGCCGCCTTCTATATTACCAAATGGATTATTTAGTAGCTTAATAACGGTCTCTCTCTCTCTCTCCCCCTCTCATTTCGTCTGATGAGCAAGAACCGCGCGCTGTCTCAACGTCGCATATATGTTTTTTTTTTTCTTTTCATTTTTCTCTTTTGTTTTTTTTGCGGATTCTAATGTTTCACGCGTGTCGCGAATCAGGGCCCGATGGACGAGCGGTATTGTCCGGATTTTTCGGGGTTATATGGGTTTTTAAATCAGATTCAATCGCCGCGCGACAATCCCCGGAGGATTACCGCGGATTTGCAACGCGGGGATTTGTACCTTGTCGCCCGCGCGCGCAGCATGTCGTTGTTATTGCGCCGGCAGTCGGACACAAATGCCCGTCGCCGGCGCATCGTCGCAGTTAACGACGTTAGATACTACTCATTGTCTTTGATAGCCTGTTTAGGAGGATAATAACGTCCAATCCTCGTATCATCTCGTGGAAATCTATTGAATCAGGTTTGCTCTATGAGCTTATGCCTATCGCGTTACGTTTACTATCCCGCGATCAAGGAAGCCCCTCGGTGCCGACATCATAACATTGAACGAACGAGCTTTCTCAAGTAGGCGACCGGTATACTCCGCGGTTACGCTTATCTCTGTGCAAGCGGGCATTATCAAGCATTAGACTCTGCTGAAACTGACTACTGATTGACAATGGCTTGTCGAAACTAAGCGAGCGCAATTATAGGGAATAAACATTAGAGTTTGGAATGGCGCATAGTAATCTATAATCTTATATAAAAAAGTGATTTATAAGAATTTATAATTTATTTTATAAAAATTAACGATATTTAAAATACAAACTTAACACATCTTTTTTGCCGATGTACTTCAATTTCTCTAACATCAGTTTTTCGATATCTAAAAAGAAAGTCTGTTAAACATTTAACATTATTAAATATTATTTTTAAAATTTATTTTAATCAATATATAATTTTATTTATTGTCTACAAATATTTTATTAACAATCACATCTGTTTGTTAATCGTGAATATTGAAACACGTCTGGCAGCGATTAGAATTTTACAGCAACGTGTCGAAAACATGGTCGATACTTAATCCGCCACGATTGTCTCCACAACCATCGGATGATTAAACGTCGCCAGATCCGCTAATGTGGTTTTCCCCTTTGTTCTGTTTCAGGAGAGAAACCGTATAAATGCAGCTGGGAGGGCTGCGAGTGGCGATTCGCGCGTTCGGACGAGTTGACGCGTCATTACCGCAAGCACACCGGCGCGAAGCCGTTCAAGTGCAGGCATTGCGAACGATGCTTCTCCCGCAGCGACCATCTAGCTCTCCACATGAAGAGACACGTGTAATCAATCGTCTCCGTGGACGGTCCCAGTCGCGCGTCACACTCCGCGATCGGGACCGCCGGGATTCTTTCCTCGTGAAGATCGCGGGGACATCTGCGCGGAGGGTTCACGCGATCTAACATCTTTACGGATCGCCTGACAGCATGCCGCAAGTGAAAAGAAATCGACCATCGAATGTCCACACTTGATAAACGAATATCAACGCGAATTCTACGGGAGCGGCTGTAATCAGGTGATTGCAACGAGACGCTAGACTTCCGTTATTAACGGAAACTCGTCGTCAAAGATCGCTGTGGAAGGAGATCGATGAATAGCGAAACGCCGTCTGAAGGCGATCGAAGATTAAATTCGCGTTTAAAACAATCTGTGAAGACGAAACGAAAGGAAGCTCGACAAATCATCGAATGACGTGATAAGCTAAAGAAAAGCACTTTGTCAAAATCCCCAAAAAATTACACATTTGAAATGATGTATATTTCTTCGAAATTGCGAAAGGTGCAAAAATTAGAAGAGTGATCAGCGACGTTCGTCTTTGAGGAGCTGAGAAAGCGCGAAAAGATCTTCGATCCCGCTAAGTCGTGCGAGTTTGAGGAGGCGGAAACATTGACGGTCAGTAATGGTCCAGCAGCGAGACTGCAGCCGGTGTAAAGTAGAGAGAAGCCTCCGGGTAAAGGGAGCATAAACGAAAAAGTCGCCCGAGAAGTCTCGCACGAGAAACGTCAATCACTGCCAATTCGTTACATTCTAAGATCAGCGCTACCGTCGAAGATTTCAAGCTGCGACTTCGCAACCGGAGGTCTTCGCAAACGAGAAGCTGACCGGAGAAAGCCTAAAGTTTTCGCCGATCCTCAAATCGTCGTCGTAGCGCGCGTAGCTGGTACTCGTTCGCGATTGAATTGTAACATCGAAAATGCGCTTCTACGCTGTTACCACAAATCGGTTCACCTTTTCCAAAACGGTCGAGGGTCGACGGTCGTGTCGCGTTCACCGCGTCGAGATACGCTGGGTGTCGCGAGCGGCGTCGCGCGCACGCTAAAAACTAGAGAGACAAAAAATGTAGATTTCGCGAGGACAATAATGCAGACTGTCGGTGCCAAACGTTATTTCCTTTCTCTTGCTTTTCCTCGGGAGTTCCGCGGGGCCACTCGCGGCTAAAAATCACACGCGCGGCACTCACGGACCCACCCGGCGAATCTCTCGACGCGTCCGGACTCGCGCTCTCACGCAGCGGGAGAGTCGGAACGCGACGCGTGGTAATTGAATACGTGATTTCGACCAGTTTTGACGGCAACGAGATTTGCCGCGCCGACTGCTAATCCCGAATTTACAGTGCGAATTACAACGCGGGTCGCCGCCGACTCTGCCGCGCTTCTTATGCATAGTCCGATCGCAAAGAAGCTTTACAGACGCGCGAGATCCGATCGCGTTTTGCTTCGCTACTTAGAACTGATTTTTATTCAATGCCAATTCGCACTCCGGCTTTCAGATAATTATTACTCGATCGTTATGGTTAACACTGCGCTTTATTTATCTTTACGAAAGTTTTTTCCGAACTTTGCATGCTTGTGGAAAGTGTAGACGGCTTTTTCCCCTCGCGATCTGCTTCGGCTGCAGCGTGACTCGGAATGTGTGCGAGTAAGGGAGTCGTTTGTCGAGACGATCATCACGAAAAACTCAACAGAATACAAATAATATAAATATATTTTTTAATATTCTCGTCATGTGCGCTCATTGAAACAATGTAGATAAGGAAATATATACGGGCAATATAATTCACATAAGACTTTCGTGCACTTTTCACGCAGTCGAGCGTTTCGCGGACGATACCCTGCCTTGCACATAACCGACGGCGGATGGCCGACTTTTTATCATATTTGTATCCGCGAACGCGTTGATCAACAGCGTACGATCATCGGCGGGAGATTGTCTCCTCGCTTATCATCGATCCTGATATTACGATATTTAAGGTATCGCGCGCAACAGGGCAACAAAGTATTCCAGCAACGATATCGAGAAAAAAAAGTACGAAAGAAATCGAGACCGTTGCAGCGCGTTATTCATCAAAACGAGGTAAGAAGGTAAAAAAACTTCGAGAAGACTAACTTTACCTGACGTAAGAGGCGAAATAGCCAAGGAGACGAGGAATGAAAATAACTAAATTTTAAATGTTCAGTGGCCAAATAAATTAATTGATACGCACGTAGAACCTAAAGATACCGTACCTACTGTGCCCGGCCGGCGAAGGGTCGGGGCGACAGTTCGTGCGATTGCATGCGTGTGCGGCTGTGTTTTACGTATGCGTGGGGCGTCGATGCGTGCGTGTATACGTACTTGGGTGTCTGTGTGTGTGCGTGTATGCATTTTTTTCCACGAATATATTCCAAACCTGGTATAGGTCGGGAATCCAAGGGAGGAGACGAGCGGAACACTGAGTTTGTATATTGTGCAATTTTTTCAATGTTTCATTATTTGTTACCATGTTCACGATTAATTACGAATAAATAAATATATATATGTAGCATTTACAATCTTAGGATATAACGGCCATGAAGCCAAACGTCTTTTTGATAGCCATATTCGGATACCGTGGTCGTCGTCGCGTTCGCGACATCCCCTCCCCACCCCCACCCCCGACATCTTCTTTTTTCCGACGGGCGAGATGTAATTAAAAGTACGCGTAGTACAAGAGAAGAAGGAATGACCGCGCGAAAGATCCCGTCTCTGATCTCGACGGCCTCTCGTTAAATTTTATGCCGGCCGCCGGAACGAAAGTAACTGTGGAGAATAATGGTCGCTACTACGATCCTTGTTAGAGTCAGAGTCCACCACGCAGGTATAATTCGCTCTCGTGCATCTCTACACTAGTTTGTATTTAGGCGTGTAGTGATGGAACTGGGGGTGACGAGTTTCGATATCGCAGAAGGGTCTGTTCTGTTTCGGCAAAACAGTCCTTGTCGTCAGGACGACAAACGTTTCCGGCATTTCTAATTGAGGCGATCAACGAGCTCTGTAGATATATATCGTTAAGCGAAACGACGCGAGCACGTTGTCTTGACACGGGATCGGTGGATGACAATTCGCGTGCAATTCGCGAATTGATTGAGAAACCGGAAGAGAAAGCGTGGATACTTTGAATAAAAAAAAAATAGCTAGACGTTTAGATAGGTAGATGGATAGCTAAATCGTTAGATAGGCACTTAGATAGACAGACAAATAGATCGGCGAACGGAGAATAGAGCGTGTGCGCCCAAGAGTGCTTGAAACATAGAGAGAGAGAATTTTATGCACATATATATATATATATATATATATATAAATAAATAAAAAAGTATATATATATATATGCGTGTGTATAGATATACATATATATATGTAGGTAGATGGTTATACATAGATAGAGATGTAAGTATCTAAGAAAAACTCTAAGAAACTTTAGGAGAAGCAGTATCGTCGTTCGAGGTATGATAAGTGAACATAAGTGTTTTATGATACTCGCGTACAAGAGAAACGAGATGAATACTGAGGAATAAAAAGATAAAACATAAAATTAAGTGGTAATTAAAAAAAAATTAAAAAATAGTACGATTATAATTGTATTATCGTGGTCTAAGGTATTTTCAGTCATGTTGTATAGTAACTGTAAATTACACTTTAAAAGAAAGGAAGAGTGCGAGTCAAAGAGTGAGAGTGATAACGCAGGAGCAAATGTGAAAAAAACGTGGCGCAACTCGTGTTAGATTAGCTTTGCATAGAAGAAAGCAGAAGAAACGAATCGAAGATTAACGAAAGAAAACGGGCAACATCAATTGAACTTTGCGAAATTTATATAGTAAACGCCCCCCCCCCTCGCGCAAAATAAATAAATTGCGAACGGAATGCAGGTTGAAAGAGAAGCGTGAAGAGCCCTCTTTTAATAATAATGTTAAGGATAAATAACAAATACTCGCGGCAACAGGGAACTGCGATGAGCGCGACGCTAAATAGCTATAATCACGTAAATTTCGAAGCACTTAATCCCACACGAGTGGAAAGGAAAAGAATTTGATGCTATTATTATAAAGTTACAAGAAAAAAGAAGTATTAATTATCGATTTGCTGCAATCCAAGACGTCTGCAATATTACTCTATTATTTCCAGTATTCTGTATGTATTCTTTTGTTTATTATTCGTTCTTGTTGTCCTGTCTAGTCTGGGGGGAGTTATACTTGTGGCTCATCCGAGTGGATAGTTTAACAGGTGAAAATTATACCAAAACTGCCTTTCAATCAGATGAGCCACAAAGTAGGATCATCTTCCGATGTATTAGAGTGCTGCTGCAACTTTTTTGTAAGATAAATCTTTTTTTTCGTAAAAAATTGTATATATATATATTTTTTTTGTCATAGAGTTTCTATACGTTTTTTAGAAAGAGTGAATTTGTAAAATGAGATCGATTATTCTCTGTTTCGCATATGCATTGCGAACGTCGTGTATTGCCAAATACGTATTCAAAACGATACTGATAACCGAACTGATAGAACTAATATTATTTTTGAGGAATTTTCCTCGCTAGAGAAGAATTAAATAGATAATGAAGAAAAAAATGAGTACTACACTAATGATACAAGGATTTTATGAGGAAAGACTTAAAAAGAACAGCGAGAGAGGGAGAGAAAAAGAAAGAGAGATTGAGAGGGAGAAAAAGAAAACGAGAAAGAAATTATGAGAAAACGGGGAATGATGAAAGTGAATACGGAAGCATAAGTGGCAATATGCGAATGAACCGGGAGTGAAAGTGGATGAGAAAAAGATAAGAGAGAAAGAGAGCGAGAGAAAGAAAGAAAGACAACACGCGTGAGAGCGAAAGATTAATGAGAAAAAAAACAAAGATGATATAACTTATATTTTTAAAAAGTGACCTTTGGCATTTAAAGACTTGTAAAAATCGTGCAACGAGTTAAATAAACAAAATCAAGGGCGCAGTGTATTAAGAAGCGTCCGTCCTTCTCCGTGTCTCTATTTCATATACATGATTCACGTACACTTTAAACACACACATACACACACACACACACACACACACACACACACACACACTTGTGCACGACATAGGCACTCGTTGAAGTACTCGGGAACAGGTGCGACTTGCAATTCTGGAGCATTTTCTAAACTGTGGTACTAACATACCTATATTTCTACAAGCCGTCAAACGCAAATGCAGACATAACACAACCCGGGGCCCGAAATTAAGACAGAATTTACAAACAGTCGAGAGAGAACACCCGAGTGTTCCAATTTTAATCTGAAACCGGAAAAAAGAAAGCGGGGGCAAAGGACAAATGGGGGGATGGTGGGAGAAGTTGAAAGTCGATTCGAATAGGAGAAGTGGCGTATACGTGTAGATGCGTTCCTTTGAAAAAAAAAAAAAAAAAACAACATCTCACAAGACACAATCGATCAGAGTAGACACATTTACTAATAGGCAGGCGATTTATCTCGGGGCCTAAAAGGACAGAAATAAGTTTCGATCAACACTCGACTCTCGAGCCTCGCTTGTGCGGTCGCTCCCCGATCGTCGCGAGTCTCTTCGGTTTCCGATTGAATTCCTAATACTTGCGCAGCGAAAAACGACGCGGCTTCAATGACGGACGAACGGCGTTCTGTCGGGGGTGAAACTTTCCTCGCGTCAACGTGTCGAGCTGGAAAACGAAAGCCAAGAAAATGAAAAAAAAAAAAAAAAAAACGAGCCAACAGACAGTCATCGCACAGTCACTAATGTCATCCAACAACACAATTCATGGTAGGATAGCATTTTTAGGGATTTTATACAGGCATGCGACGGCGTTCTATGTTTTAGCCGGGACTTTACTGTCGATGATTATATTGACGTTTCTTCGTGTATGTACGTAAAAAAATGAGACATGAAACAAGACATGAGAAGAGTGCGCACGTAACGAGAGGCAGAGTGAGAGAAAAAGTGCGAAAGATATTTTTGAGGGAGCGAAAGAGTCGAGCGTAAAGAAAGAACGCGTGAGAGAAGGAGAGAATGAAACGTTGCGGAAAAGTCAGGGGCAAGTGGAAGTCGGCGAAAATCATTTTTCCAGAATTCTGTACCTCGTTGCGTATACATTTCTATTTATATAACTGTGCATATTAACGTATTATAATAATGTGATTTATTACGTGTGATCCCCCTTGAGCGCGGAGAGACGTGGAAAAAATCTTTAAGCGAGTATTTTGTACTAGATAAAACGAACAAAAAAAATTCGAGTGAACGAGAGAGAGAAAGAGAGAAAGAGAGAGAGAAAGTGCAGAAGAAAACGAATGCGAGATGTGAAGCGATAGCAATTCTTGTGATCGCAGCTTTTTTTGCCGCTGAGATACGTAATTGTAACAAAGAACGCGCTTACGCAGTCGTCGCTCCTTTCTCTCGCCGTCTCGCCATTTCGTTTTTTTTTCTCTTTTACCTGCTTTTTTCCTGTTCTTCTTATGCAACTGCTATTTATTCGCGTCGAAGTGGACGATGACCGTCTGCATATATTACGCACCTGTATCGTTTTTCTGCTGCATTTATCTATCAGTATATAAGAAATATGACAACGAAAAGCATTGTGAGCAATTACGCGCTTGTAAAGCTATTTAAAAAAAGAAAAATCACGTGCGTTCAATATCAATGAATGACTTTCTACGTGAGATTTCTACATTTTTCGCTCTACGCAAACGTCCCATTATCGTCATCTTCGAAAAATCAGGTGGTTATCGATCACCTTTGTTGAAAACAAACAACGTTCCGCACTACATTTCTTGGGGCTGTCCACCGAAAGCTGATGGAGGGACTTTTCGGCTGCTTCCCACTTCCTCTATCGGAAAATATCCGCTCTCGTACCTCTTTAACGGCACTGCGTAAACACGCTTCGCGCCACGAGTCGTTCGTACGTATCAATTGCAAGAGGATGCCACTACGTGGCCGTGCATAATACCGTGCGGCAGCACGCGCGGGAGCTCGAGTCTGTCTACCAAATCCTATCCGACGGGATGTGATTGTACATGTTTTTTAAATTTAGTAATTTTAGCGACCCTCGTGCTACGAAGCGAGTGTTGGACGTATCAGCGATGGTGAATCGATAGTCGCGCGCAACACCGCCGAACTAAACGAGAACAAACGCGAAAAATGTATACGATTCTAGGAACCTGATTGTCCTCGACGACAAAAACGCAAACTACGTAAAAGAGATTGAAAATAAAAAAAATAAAAAAAAATTTAAAAAAAAAGGTAAAACGTAAGAGAGGAAGGGATCTTTCCGAAAGTTGAAACTATAACAACTTACTGCGACTTCCAAAAGACGCGCTGGTTTACTTCGAAGACTCGACGTTTTGTACAAGGTGTAGCGAGCTCGTGTAACGAGCGCAGTAGGTGATCACATGTGATATTTGTATCGGCTATTATATATATAAATATATATATATATATATATATATGTAAATGTATATTATATATTAGAGTACTCCGTTAGGATTATGGTTGGTAGTTAGAAAAAAAAAAGACGTAAAGAAAGATGAGAGATAGAAAAAGAAAGGGAGAGAGAAGAAAGACGAAAGCGTCGAGCTCCATTGAACGTCCCGCTGTAAAACAAGCGAACGCCTCGTGGACGAAAGAGTGAGGAAAACAGAAAGAACTTTTCGCAGAAACACGCACCGCTCCCGCCTAATCGCGCTATGCGCAGGCCTACTTGCCGATTTAAAAAAAAGAAAAAAAGAAAAAAAACCGGTTCGCCAATTCGGAAAAGTATGTCCTGGCGAGAGTGTAAAAAAAAAGAGAAAAAAAAAACTAAAAATGTAACAGAGGGGCGAGAGTGTGCATACGAGCTTAAAAGGGAATCAGCGCGAGCGCAGCTCGTCCGAATTTCCGAATTTTCCACCAGCTGTGGCCATAAATATTCGTTAAAGTTAATGGAAGTTTAACTGATTTCAGAATTAAATAGGAATTAACTGATTCTCCGTCTTTGTCTACAATTGGGAAGGAGGCAGATAGTAGAATACCAGTTTAACTTTAACTAGTATTTACGGGAACGGTCCTATCAAATGTTCACGGGCAAAGGGCACGAGATGCGACGCGTGATTGCTCCGACGAATTCTTCAAAGTCAGGACTGATCGATTCTCGATCGAGTGTGAGAGAAAAAAAAAACGCGTAGGAGATGCCGCGTAGGATGCGACCATTTGCGCCCTCGAGAGTAATGCCAGTCGAGCCCGAAAGGCGAGTAGTTTCGCGATGTGCATAGAGACTTGATTTTTCTTTTTTTTTTTATTCCTCTTTCCGAGTCGTTTCGCGACGTTTTCGCGCCGACGCGCGTGTGCCGC